GAGAAGAGGACAACAAACGAGGGGCTGTGACAAACTGTTTCGTCGGAGTTTCACCGACTCATCAGGAGGCTATATATATTTGTATATTCTCTATTATGTAAGATACACATATATAAATTTTCACCGCATTTGTCACAGCCAAAAAAAAAGAGAAATCACCAAAGATAGCGGTGTCCAAAACGTGGTCGCCCCCTCAATAATTTCATTCTCGTGTTATTTTTTCTAATTTTCATTATTATTATTTATTTTTAGTAATTGATTTTTATTTCAAATTTGGTAAAGAATTTGGATGTAACGTTGAGGCAAATGTTGTTTAGTTTATTCCAGCGTAGCACGGCGAACGTGTTCGCGCCCCTTCACGTTCGCGCAAACGTGTTCGCACGTTCGCGCGAACAACTAGCGAACATGTTCGGGCGTACACAATTTTTTTTTCGTTAAAAAAAAAAATAAATCGGTTTTTGATTTTTAACTCATGATTGGTTACAAATTTGAACATGACTGCAAGGCAAAAGTTGCTTGTATTATTATTTTACATAACATATATTTTTTCCAGATTTTTTTGAGAACTCGTTTTTTTTTCTTAATATTTTTTATGTTCGCGTTCGGAGGGTTTTGGGTGCTTGTTTGCGTTCGGGCGAACATGTTCGCGTCCGCCTCCGAACGCGAACACGGTGCTACGTAGGTTTATTCTTCTGTATAACATATAGTTTTTTCAGATTTTTTAGGTTACCAATGGTCCGGAGACCGGACGTCTCCACCGGACGTCTCCCCCCCCCGTCGTCCGGATTTCCGGACGACGCCTTTTTGACACCAAAAAAAAAACAAAAAAAAAAACAAATTATGACAGTGTTGCGCATGGCCTAGAGACCCCCCACAAAAAAATTCAGATTTTTCTGAGCATTTACTGATAGGGTGATATTTCGGGGGGGAGGGGGGGGGTAGAAGGGGTTTTGGTGGGGATAGGAGGGGTATAGATGGGGAATGAATCTTTAACCATTTTTATTATTCATTCTACTGGCCCAAATAATCCAAAAATTTGGTGGCATACACCTAATGCAAGGTGGAAGCCACATGATTTTTTCAAACGGCCCAATTTTTTTTTTTTTTTTTTTTTTTTTTTT